GGCTACAAAATGGTATAAAGTTGAAATTCAATAATTTTAAAGCAATTTAAAAATAATACATTGCAATAGAATTAAACATGGGTTACACTATGCCAGAAAAAAGTAGCAGGACTGTATAATCCCAGTCTTTCTGTGTGAAAGAAAGTGAGTTTAGTATAATGTTAAGAAGTAAAGAGCATGTGTTAATAAAGGCAGCAAACCTGTCAGTCAGTGTTGAGATGATGTAAAGAGTTTTTCAAGAGATACTTCTTACCAACATATATAATTTCTTTGTTCCTGGACATAATAAGTAAATGTTGTAAAAATCTGCACCAGAGCATTTATAAAGTATCCCTTTAATTTACTGAACTACTTTAAAGCGCTTTGTTGGATCGCAAGTCGCATAACGCTGTTACCAATACATGAGTAAAGTAATTACTTAGATTCCTTTTGCAATGGAAAACCAATGTAGTTACTAATGCTGCTAATGTGTAATACTGGTACTTCCAACACTGCAGACAACAGATAATACTACAAATTAAAGTCTTAAAGGACCAGCTCTGTTGCAAAAAATAAACAGGGTTCCATCTAGAAAAAATACGTAGGCTAGAAAGAAAAGAAAGTTTTGCTTTTTATCTTTTTTAAACACTTAATTTTTCTCTGAACATCCAATTTATGCCATTACTAAGGGATCTGTCCCATTAAGATTTAGTAATCACCCCCCCCTAGTGGTCAGGAACACTTTCATTGTGCTAAGCAAGTCTGCAGCTTTTCTTAACTTTTGAACTTTTTCGTTTTCGTTTTGTTCTTCCTTTTCATTTGCATACCGGTAATTAATAACGTATATTTGCCATAGGTTTTGGGGTTTGTAGGGCATTTCCACTTGTTATTGCAGCATTTCTCATTCACATATTTGACTCATATCCAAGGTTTTAATGGAAATTCTGATTTCTTTTCAAACCCCAATCCCCTGAAAAAAGGAAGAAAAAAAAAACTGACCTGAGTTGCTGCCATACATGGTATTTAATTGAATACCTATCCCATCATTTTTAAAGCACATGCAGTTTGAACGATGTCACATTTAATCCTACGTTTACATCATCAGCTGGGCTCTCACTACTCATAGACTTCTTTGCCACTGATTGCTTTTAAAACAGCCATTATTAATAGCTGTGCTCTTTTCTTTCTTATGTTCCTTCTTTGTTAATAATGGGGCTATGATACTGTCAACTACCATCACTCCAGGGTTTAATAAAAACACAGAGATAGAACGTTTGTTTTTTTGTGTCTTTTTTCAGCTCTTTTTTTAAGTAAGCAGTATGCTGCTGTGTGATATCAACATTATTCATCTTCCTGTGCAAATTGAATTTATTAGTGGTATGAAAGACCATACTAAAAATATTGGATTTCCAAGAAAAAAAAGTTTTTTCTTCTCTTTTTTTTGTTTTTGCGTCTTTTTTTTTTTTAGTTTCCTGCACTTTTTGAATTTGCTGTGAAATCGTGTATTTGCATGGTGTTTGCGCCCCTGCAATCGTAGTTTACAAATGATTATTATTTTATTCATCAACAAAAACAATCAAACCAACCAAGCATCATCTGGCAAATTAATTACCCCTCTTTTAAATCATGAATTAACTGTGATTAACCATTTTTTTAGGCTCAGTTTCCCTTGCAACATCTGGAGTTGATGACTCCTAGACCTTTTGAAACAACAGCTTACCTAAATAGCATCTTGCCAAAAATGAAAAGTAGACTAAATATATAAGAAGCATATCATGATATAAAGAAACAAGTCATGAACATCTATCAGCTTTAAACATTTATGAAATATTTTAGGGCTTTGGGTTTCCAATGGAACACAATAAGAATCATTATACACAAATGAAAAATACCTTTCTAGGGGTATCGCTCCAACAACAAATTAATGACTCATCCAGGATGTCTTACATCAACCCAGAACCTCATCTATAGCATAGAAGACCTCCCAGTTAAAGCAACATTCTGTAAACTATGACCTAAGAATGAGCTTAATTTGAGAAATATCAAATGTTTTAGCAGATCAAAATACAGCACTTGGCGTGTATCATTCCTCCGTGCATGCTGTGCTTCTCAAAAACTCCCAGATTTAACTTGAGAGGTTTGAATCCTTTATTGGTCTTAGCCCCTTTAAGGAGTTACTTTTAATTGAGGAAATCATAAATATAACTTACCAGCAGAAAGTCGGTTGCTTTTTTACATCTGGGTTATTTTCCCTTCATAAAAAAATGTCTTCAGCTGGAAAACAAGCTTTGTGTTTAGGCAAATTATATTTGTCTAATAATAAAATGTGTTGAATAATTTTTTAGAAAAATATACTGGTGTCAACGATTAATGATCATATTTTTAAGAAAATTACT